AAACATTAAAAAATATAACATTACAGTTATTTTTTACAATTTTTTGAAAAAGTATTTATTATTTTGAAACTTAATTTTTTAAACATTAAATATTTCTCTCAAAATTCTATATTATAGCAATTAACAATCAATATATTTAATTTTTTATTTTATTTTTTAACAAAGAAAGCAATTTCGGAAATTTTAAGAAACTTTAAAAAAATAACATTAAAGTTATTTTTACAATTTATTGAAAAAGTATTTATTATTCTGAAACGTAATTTTTTAAACATTGCTAAAATACGAAGATTGTAAAATTTTCAAAAATAGTAATTTAATATCAAATTTTTTTTTCAAAAAAGGCAAAATTCAAGGGGAAAGGTTTTTAGTGAAGTTGTTTCTGTTAAATTTTTATTGGTCATAACTAGGTTTTTAATTAAACTTCTTTGTTATTGCGTACTTGTAACCATTCTTTGATTTTTTTTTTAAAAATTTCAATTATTTATTTTAAATTTGACCATTTTTATAGTTAATATTTATTGCCTATTAACTCTTATATCGAAAAATGTAATGATGTTTGATAAAAACTTAATCAAAATTAATGAGTTATGTTATAGTGATCGGAAAGACTACTCTTGTAGTCACTCTTTTTAGTCGAGCAAAAATACTTACAAATTTGAAAAGTGTAGACTCACTTTGATCAAAAATTTTATCATAAGGAAATTTAATCATAAGGAAAAAATTCATAGCTATGATAATTAAAGAATAGATAAATAAACCAAGTGTCGGATATTCCATACAGTACTGTTGTTTAAGATAACTATTTTCTTTGAACATTCTGTAAGAAGAACAAAAATATTTTGCAATAAGCCATGAACGTTCGTAACAATTGAATAATTAATTATTTATTATTTATATTAGTAACAAGAATGTATATGAATTTTCATGTTTTAGAGTTCATTTTTTTTGTTAAAACATATACTTTTATTTGCTTTCGAATCTAATGTTTATGTTTGGTTTATCTTTTTATTATTTTATACGAATGTTTTGTTTTTATATGCATAAATGTCAATAATTAAATAATTGAGTTACACATTTTTTTAATATACTAGCTTATACATTTTTTAATATAATAGCTTATTCATTTTTTTAAAACAAGAAAAGTTAATTGACCCGTTTGGTTAAAATTACATTAAATTATAATTGCAAGTTGGAATATAGAAAAATTAATTGTTATAAGAGAATACGTAAAAAAATGTTTTAACATCTTAAGGGAATAAATTGTTTTTTAAAATGAAATGCGTTCTCTTATGTTAATTTAAAACATTTAATTTTTAAAACTCTATTGTTTATTTTTTACTGTAATTATTTATTTTCTATCACCTTAACCTATTTTTCTTTCAAAATATCCCAATTAGTATAGTATTCGCTATTTAACTACTTCATCTCAAAAAATTTCTAATATTTAAAAAATATTTTAAGTTAATCATTCAGCAGGACTCGACAAAAAAATTATAAGCTTTTTTGAGGAATTTATCTAAATTAGAGAAAGTTTTGAAATGATATCATAAGATTTGAGTCTTATTTTAAAAATACACCGCAACAGACTGAAAAACAAAAACTCATTCTTACTAATAAACATAAATATGATATAATACATATCATACGATTCAGAATGTGAATATATAATATTCATTTTTTTACAAAAATACTTCATCAGTTGCTCTATTTAAAGAATGTTATTTAATGAAGCATAAAATTGTTTATTTTAGTAAATGGTGAATGTTTAATTCAAAGCTGAACTATTTCCTAAGATTCGTTTATACTGTCCATTGATATTTTTTACTTTTAAACATTTTTATTAGAATTTATATCCTTAATGAACCTGAGTACATGAGAAATATACATAATAATTATTTATTTATTTTGGATACTAATTTAAATATATTGTTAATGTTAACTAATTGATGTAGGTATTCTACAAACGTATGTTTCAATTATGTACTATAAATAAAGAAACTACAATCGTTTGCTAAACAAGGTCCTTACTAAAATTTTACCGTTTCTTATAATTTTTAGCCAATTATAATTTTTAAACCATTTTCGCTTCTCTAATTATTTAAAAAAAAAGCTTTAATTTAATTTTTAACAGTTATTCTTGAAATAATGAATATAATCCCACACTGAGAAAAAGCATCGTCAAAACTACCCAAATATGGTAAAATATACCGTGCTTTTGGCTCTATGGGTACTAGAAGCTCGATAATTTTTACCGAAGTGCTTTGGTAATGTTTTTGGTAAAATTAACTATAAAATAAAGTTTTATAAAATGCGATAAAATTCGGTAATTTTGAAATGATACCTTGGATCATGGCATAAAAACCATTTATTCGGTTATATTTATTTTTCAGTTTCCTACTCTTTACTAAATGTGCGGTAATAAAAACTATAATTTTGAAAATTAGAATTTTCGGTAAACCGTTACCATATAAACAGAAAAATTGCCAAATGGATGGCTTAAATTCTGTATATTTTAGTTCTAAATACTTGAATTATGTTATTTTTATTATTATTATTAGAAATGATATTAGCTTACAGTACGGTAATTTTACCACAATTTGTTTTCCTTCAAAGCAATTTAATATCCTTTTGATTTGGCTCTAGTCAAATTCAAACGGAATGAATACAACTCTACGCTTGATTTTTATGAGGTAGATATTTGTATGAGGAGAATTATTTATGTAGCCGTTTTTTAAGTATTAAAAAAAATAATAATAACTTTGCATAAAAACGTAAAACAATTTTAGGTTTTCCGCGTTGGCAAGATTTTAAGAATACTTAAAACTTATCTGTCAGAATATAAATTTTAACTAATAGTACTTCATAAATTTTGATAACTATTTACAATGTTATTAAAGGGGAAATTGTGAGAAATATAGTTACAATGTTACTAAAGGGAAAATTGTGAGAAATATTCATCACTTATTTAATGGATTTCAATATTGAACTTAAAAATCATATAATAGTTCATATAATAGTACCGCTGTTACAAATGATATATATCGCAGCCTATAAAAATGCGGAAAATATATTACATCTTTTATTAAAATTTTCATATATTGTAGGATTTATTTAAATTCAATTTTATTATCAAAAGCTGAAAAAGATATAATTTTATAGACATTTTTTTTCCTTAATAAAAATATGCATTGGTTTTAACGTAAATCACTATCAAGTGTTATCGCACTTAAGAAACAAATAATTCAAAGCGACATTATCTCCGTTTTTCCTTGGATAATTATTTTCTTCACGGGCAGCCAGAGAAGCGTGTGAAATACATTCCTCTTAGCAATTTTTGCCTCATCAAAAGCGAGAACTTGAATTTAGTGAACAAAGGCTCCAATAGTTTCTTTTAAAAGCCGTCTCTGTCAGTAATTGGATGAAATCATTCGAATCTCTGTAATTGACTCTAGGATGTAAAATATTTAAAAGCTTTTATCTCATTGAAAAGAATGTTTTAACACAAAAGCATTGGACATTAAGTAGGTTCTGGCTGTTTCACAAGGTACTTGATTTTAGCAATGAGCTTCAATTGGATAGGTAAATTCTAACAAATATCTCAGAAATATATTGACGTGTATTTTTATACATTTGAATTGCTAATTTTAATAATATTCTCGATTTAAATTAATAATAATATACTTAAAATTCAATAAATACTTACAACTAGTGGGCTGCGCCCCCTGCTCGCTAACGCTCGCCAGCCCCCGAAAATTGCTACGCAATGTTATATGGTTTGCTTCGCAAACCAAGCTCGCTTCGCTCGCTACTAACTAAGGTGCATTGCAAATTCACAAAATTCTAAGAATTCAAAACAATCATTCAAATCCATATAACAACTTTTTTTTCTAAAAAAAAATACATCNATGTTAACCAACGCAGATTTATTCATTATTTACTCTTTTTTCCAACCCATTTGAAGAATGGGTATTCCTTCATCAAGTAATGTAATAATTTAGACTAGTATTTCATGGTTTTAGAGTACTGTTTTTTTTAAAGAAATATTGGTTTAAGTTATCTTTAAAGCTTTTTCACAATTTGCAAACTCATACATAAATGTTACTTTTTCCTCAAAAAGTGCTTTTATTAAACTAAATATAATAAATAATAAAACTTATTTTAACTGCGAATAATACTATATATAAACAGCATTATTTAATCAGATAAAAATAATTTAATTTTGACTCTTACGAATTTCTTATTTTGTCTGTTCGAGATGCTTATGCATATATAGAGCATCAAATAAAATTAGAAAAAAAAGCAGAAGGTACATTCCTTAAAATGATTTGAGTATAATTAAGAAAGGGAATTTATTATAAAATGTCATATGCACTTTTGGTACTGCTTTTATATAGACTAAAAAAAAAACTCAGATAAAACAGATGATAGCAGCATTGTGCAACACGAGCAATGAAACCTTTGTATACTAAAGAGAGATTTTGTATAAGCATGAGCAAGCTTAAAAATTATGTTTATTACCAGAAGTATTTAATTGTGTTAAACTTAAATAGATTAGTATCCTACAATAAAAAGTGAAGAATGTAGAGCTAAATATCTATTACTTGACATAATGATTACGATTTGCCACGTTATTGCTGATTTTGATCTTTGACAATTTTTAGTTAGGTTATAATTGGGGTTGGAACTTAAAATCGAAATGTATGTGACAAAACTAAAACAATTAAGCGTTTGACAATGTTTAACTTAACTTAAAACGTTTAACTAAATAATTTTAAATGGTGTTTATTAAAAATTACAATAACAAAAATCCATTAAACTTGAAAATCATTTGTTGTTGTTTGTTCAGTAAACTTGTAGTCTGTACAACAAACAGTTTGTACGAAAATCAACAAGTATTTTTGGTGATACTATTGTTAGCATAATATATACAACAACTACATTGATAATCAAAATTTGAACAACATTGATAAACAAAATTTCCCTTTTCTTTCTTTCTACAGTGCCTAGCTGTTCTGATTGCCCATGCGTCAGATCCCAGACACCAGAGTGAACCAGGAGTATCAGCGGTTCTGCCTCCCACTGGACCAGCAGCGACCCGCACTGTCCGCAGGTGCACTTGCCGAACGCCTATGTCAAATCTGAGGCCGTCACATAGAAGAACAGTAAGGACAATTTTTATTTTTTTGCATTAATGTTACACTGAGTCATAGGGGATATAGCGTTCGCCTTTCAATGGGGTGCCACAGGTTCGAATACCAGTGGTGGCTAGTTGAGGCAAATTCTGCTCCCGGCGCGCACCAACCACGTTGACGTAAAATACCTCCTGTAATAGACGAAGCATGGGCTAGAATTCACTTACCGTCGAGCAAAGCAAAAAAAAAGTTTTCGCGGTTTTCTAAGCCGTGTAACGCAAATGCGGGTTACTTCCTTCATAAATCCTCTACGAAGGCTAGTTTGTCCCAATGCTGGATCCAGGAGTTTTATTGTCTTCTGAGTTGGGCATAAAATTACAAGGCTACGGAGTTGAACATTATAGTCGTAAACTCAGAATTGGATCGGTGTTCGACAGCGGTTATAAAATAAAATATAATGCTGTGTTGACTAAGGTCCTATTGCGAATTTAGATCGGGGGTGACACTAAAAGAAAATTCTAGCAAATTAATGAAAATTATAAAAAGCATTTTTAATTAGCAGCTACGTCTGTAAAACTTTAGATTTTTATTTTAAATAATATATTGCTTATTTCAAGTAGGTACAAGATTTTAATTTTCCTAAAAGTCCCCTTATAGTTTCTTTTCTTTTGCCCCTTATAGCAAATTATGTAAAAAAAAATGCATCATTTGTTATAAGGGAGCAAATACTATAAGGGAACGATTACTTTATTAAAAAGCATTATAAATTAATATTATATTTTAGTTTTTTTTATCTGTATAATGCAGAGTGTTCCGTAATCACCACCCTTCACCAATTAAAGAAGTATATGCGTCATGCATATTCATTTTTAAATTAGAAAGAAACAAACACGTGATCGAAATCTCCCAAATCAAAAGTGAGGAGGACAGTGTTAAAGATATCAAAACCATCTTCATGTAAGGATGAAACATTGATCGTTTTTCAAATCTTCTTGCGATCCAGCTTTAATTTTTTTAGTCCCTTATTCTATAATAATTTTAGTTCTCTAATAATGTTAAATTCCGATAAATTCGGTTTTTACTTATTAGTTATTAATTTCTCCATTAATATTTTTATTTTTTCTTATTAACTTCACTTTTGAGAATTATTCTGAAAATATATATTTAAGTAGGTTATCAAGAAACATTCGTTGTATGATAATTTTTATAGTTATGCAACCGGGATATTATTGTTATTGTAAGCTTTTTTTTCTATACACTTGTTTGATTTTTTTAAAATTGAATTTGTTTTTAAAAGATTAATTTTGCATTAATGCACAGTGTATTATTGAATATAATACTTAATTATTGTTATTAATTCAATAATTTCAGATGTTAATAAAATAATTATTGCTCCTCTCAATTTCTTTTTTCAAAAATTAACTTAGAATATATAATTATTTTGATTAAAAAATAAGCACTGTAGCTTAATAAATAGTTATTGCACTTCATAAAGAAATCATGAAATTCAGAATGAATTAAGAAATCATGAAATCTAGAATGAATTAGGAAATCTAGAATGAATTAAGAATCGTTTCACAATCATAATTTGTTTATTTTATAAATAATTAATATATTTGTTCTAATTTGTAAATTAAAAAATAGGCTTTATAATGAGCAGTTTGTATTGAAAAATTAAATCATTGTCTTGCAGTAAATACTTGTTGCATTTCTTATCAAATTGGGGAAAAAAACATACTAGTTTACGAAACTCAGTATCATTCTACCAGATTACGTTTTTTTCGTTTTTCTTTGAAATAATGTTACTTATACTGTTGCCGTGGTTGTTTTCATAGTTCTTGCTTTTTTGAATTTCGTGACCTCTGCAAGTTGTAGGTGAAATTTACGAGGCGTCCGTAAAAAAAACTCTTCTAATGCCTACTATCATGACGTCATAGATCTCGTAAATTTTGCCATATTTCCCCGAAATACATAACAGCGGCTGAAATAAAACCACGCGAATTTCTCCTCCATTGTATTGGGTTCCTTCCAAACAGTTCCAATTCCCCCATTTAGATTGGAATTTCCACTTATTGATTGGTTATAACAAAAGGTGAAGGGAATTGGTTAAAGTTCAGTTCTGTTTTCCAATGAATTATACAGAAAAAAAAAATATGTATTGAAACAGCAATTTATTGTTTTCTATTTCTTTTTAAAATTCCTCTTTCGTCGAAAAAAGAAATGTCAATAAATTATAATTTTGTTTATAGCAGTTTAAATTTCATGTACTAGTCTTGTTTTTGTTGGAATTGTTTAAATATTTTTGAACTCATGGTGGGGCGATCCGTTAAAGCGAGGTTCATACATTTTGCAGAAAGTCTCATCCGATCCGATAGAAAGATCGATCAAGTATACAAATCGGAATGGATTTTAAACCACTTCGATGTAGTGTAGAATCCACTAAAATAAAAAATAATTGCAACTTCAAAAAAAAAAAAAAAATGCCTACTTAAGGTTGAAATAATTTCATATTATTATTGTAGAAGTATTTAAGCCCTTTTTTTTTAAATAAAATTCTAATAACTTGTAATTTTTTAAACAAATAAAAAGTTATTTTTGAAAAAAATCCATATCTTAGTTTATAAGAATAAATAAATAGGTATAAAACCTTAAACAATATATATATATATATA